CTTTCATGTCTGGCGTGACTTCGTTTTTCGTAGAAGACAAAAAAGTTGTGCAGACGTCTTTGAACTTTCTGCCTATTTCAGTCAACAATTCTTGAGTTGTCTCTTGGCTCAGAAGCAAAGCTTTGCTTGCAATTTGGAGGCATGAGAATTTCTGTACCGTACCTGGCAGATTTATGTAGCTGAACATGCTAATGTCCTCTGACCTACTTAAAAATAAATATGACCTACCAAATTGTCATTTTTATGGCTATTTACAGCCCAAGCACTCTGTAAACTTAAGAATTAATTTCCCCTCAAGGAGATCGGTACTCCTTTATCCTTGGATAAACCATTCAAAATGGATACGGTGACCAGACTTGTAGTTTCTACCAAACTTGTAGTTTCTATGCAGTCCCTTCTTTTCTATAGTCCTTCTGTTTAGCAAGACTAAATATCCTACAAATCTGAAATCTGTAAAGTTAGGGCATAGGAGAGATGGCATTTGTGGGGGAAGGAAGGAGTGAGCCCATACGGGCAATCCAAAGCATGCGGTAGCTGGAAATTAAGGGAAAATACTATGCAGCCCACAGGACAAACATTTTCTCTTCCTAGCTGAAAAGATAACGAATAATAAGAGGAAAAGTTAATATTTTAGTGCAGACACAGAATAATCATAATGTGACTGAAAAAAAATCATACTGAATATGCTACCATCACAAATACTAGCATCCTACAGATAGAATAGTACTTCCCCAATATAAGGAAGCTGTAGTGTTACAGATGCTGATTAACTGAACAGATAAAACATTTCAAAACCAAAAAGACCGACTCCAGATTTAGCTATCCTGCAGAGAGCAGAATATACCAATTGCAAAGTATGACCGGTTACAATCAAAGGGAGTTACGTTACTTATGACTAATTCATCCCATCAATTTCAGTACGTCTGCTCCAAATATTAAATATGGTTCCAACTCTAAAATAAATATAATAAAGTAGCATAAAGATAATCTGACACATGTGCCTGAAGAAACAGATTGTAATCCAAGATGAATTAATCTGTGACATTTTAAAGATGCCACGAGTTTTATTTTGTTTGCTTTTCTTATATTTGCTATCACTTGGGAATATCACATAAAAAATTTAAAAAAGCATTTTTTCTAAACATTTTAGATGTTAATGGTGGATATATGAAGAAGTATTTTCATTTGCTTCATTTTCACATGCAATTATACCCAACATCATCACTGCAGGCCAAACTACTGTAGCAGATATATTGATATACAGTGGTGCCTGACATTACGACGTTAATTCGTTCCAGCGAAATTGCTGTAGAATGAAAATGTCGTAAAGCGAAATTTAAAAGCCCATAGAAATGCATTAAAACCCGTTTAATGCGTTCCGAAGGGCTGGAAACTCACCGTCCAGCGAAGATCCTCCATAGGGCGCCCATTTTCGCTGCCTGTGCAGCAAGGAAACTGTCCCAGAAAACAGCGAGGGCCATTTTGTTTACCCGGCAGCCATTTTGAAACCGCCGATCAGCTGTCCGAAAATCATCGTTTTGCAAAGAATCTGTTCCTGAAGCAGGGAACTGATCATCGCAAAGCCAATTTCCCCCATAGGAAACATCGTAAAGCAATTGCAAAAGCGACATCAAAAAGTTTGTCGTAATGCGGTTTTGTCATTAAATGGAGTGATCGCGAAGCAAGGCACCACTGTACCTGTTAACAACAGCCTTCTGCAAACTATCTTACAGCTAGAAGGAACATTTAAACACCTGGCCCTAGAAGCCCCACTCTGGCTAAAAGATTCAAAAACATTGCAATCCCTTCACGATTCAACCATGATTGCCTAATGTCCCTTTTACCTGGTATTCCTCCTAATACTGCATGTTACATGACAGAAATATGCAGGCCCAGTGCAAAACTGAAATGTGAGAGGAAGGATAGATTCTACTAGGCAAAAGGCAGCTATATGACATTTTTAAAAGGGCAAATCGAAAGCAATCAACACAGAAAAAAATTGTGTTGTGTAGGCTGGGGTGTTAGCTTAGGATACTATAATGAACCTGGCAAGTGCTGTAGTGTTTTAATGTAAATTAACACTAGATAATCTCTTTGCATATTTAAGCAATGCACTTCAAATTAATTAATACATATTTAAGAGATGTCTCCTTGAACAGCTGTTATTTACTTCTAGAGTTTCTCCACATTAACACAAGTTGCTTTGTTCTCCTCCAAAGTTATTCATGCTTCTTACAGTACTTTGTGAACATGCATGATGTAAAAATCAGCATTCTTTGCTCCCAAAGAGATGAGCCTTTCTGATAACTTAATATTTTAACATTAAACATTCAAGCAATTTTCCAAAACAGAAAAGGTCAAATCGTACTTACAGCATCTGCTTGCGACAGACAAGCAGATGCTTAACGCTACTACACAAATACTTGCAGCAGTGAACATGATAAAAGGGAGGCAATCAATCTTCTACGGTGAATTTTAAAGTCAAATTTACTTTTGATGCTAGCCCACTAAATTTCACCATTACTTCTTTGTGTGTGTGTCATTATTTAAGGCCACATTACAGGCCTTTCTCTGGTTTCTGAAGTACCGGAAACTAGTCCATGGAATGCCTATACTTGAAGAGAGGCACCAGAAAGTAGGATACATATTCTGAACGCTACACATTCAGAAATGTCATGTTCCTTTGCAACTCATTTATATATTGTTGTAAAATGCAAATGCTGTTTTTTTCCCCTAAAGAGCTATCTAAACTGCAATCAAACTGGTGTAATAAGCTTTTCAGCTTTCCCACCAAGATACAGGTCCTAGGATTTTTGGTGATTCCCTGGTGACAGTTTAAATGAGCATAAAAACCAATACCACTTGCTATGTAGATGCTTCTTAAGTACTGAATCATATGGCTGCAAAAAAAAAACCTAAATTCTGTTCCAAGGTTAAATAACCTTTTATCAATGTACCCTGGACTGCACAAGGCAGATTAAAGCAGCAGCTTGACAAAGTGTGATCTAAGACATCATTAGGTAAAGGTTTCCCTTGACATTTTGTCCCATCGTGTCCGACTCTAGGCGGCGGTGCTCATCCCCATCTCAAAGCCGTAGAGCTATCGTTTGTCCGTAGACAATCCTCCGTGGTCACGTGGCCAGCGTGACTAGACATGGAACGCCGTTACCTTCCCACCGAGGTGGTACCTATTTATCTACTCGCATTTTTACATGCTTTCGAACAGCTAGGCTGGCAGGAGTTGGGACAAGCATGGGAGCTCACTCCGTTGCGTGGTTTCGATCTTCCGACTGCTGGTCTTCTGACCTCACAGCACAGAGGCTTCTGCGGTTTAACCCTCAGCGCCACCACGTCCCCAAGACATCATTATAATGTGACAAATTATGAACTATTTAAGATGAGGAGGATGTTAATGCAAGAGGTAGGCACACCACCTTTTACATGTCCTGCCTCCCCCACTGTTGGCCAAATGTAGACCTAGTTAGCATGTCTTGGTGCACCACCACATGTCCTGCCTCCCCCACTGTTGGTCAAATGTAGACCTAGTTAGCATGTCTTGGTTTGCTGAAAACTCTGAACCTCAGTCATATCTGATGAAGTGGACTTCTCCACGAAAGCTCAGATCAAAGAATACAAAAGTTCGTTTTTAAGGTGCCACCATATTGTTGTGTTTTTTAACTTTTTATTTTGTTTTCAGTTATGAAATTATCCCAAAATCCCAAAATCCCGAGATGAACCCATGGAATATGCTCATGCAAAGAACAGGAGAGAAGACAACCACAATGAAATGCCTGCTTACCACAGGGGACCTCAAAATTTAGTTATCACAGGAGAGCACAAAATGGAGCATTAAGTATTCTATAATTAAGAGCCAGAATGTAAGCAATGGATAGTGTCACTGTAAATTTTTTTTATATAAAACACAATAATTTATTTATGTACTTATTTTAAATATTTTTATCCTGCCTTTCTCCTTAAAAAAGATACAAGGCGGCTTACATAATTAAAAATACAATATTTAAAATCTCAAACAGTAAGTATACAAATATTTAAAAAGAATTAAACAAGTGCTATATTAAAAACAGTAAATAAAATCAATGCTAAAACATATTTAAAACAATAGTGCACCACAGTCAATTTTTTTATAAAAGCCCTCTCAGACCATCAGCGATTAAGGAAAAGCCTGCCTGAGGAGAAAGTTCTTTACCCCCGCTTGTGTGTGGACAAGAAAGATGGGGCCAGCCCGGCTTCGTTTGGGAGGGGATTAAAGAATCAGGGTGCAGCAATAGAGAAGGCCCTCTCGCATCTCTCATAAAGGGAGACGTAGTCTTTTAGATAGCTTCGGTCCAAGCTGTTTAGGGCTTTATGGGTTAAAACCAGCACGTTGAACTGGGCCCAGAAATGGATCAGCAGCCAGTGGAGCTGCTGTTAACAGGGGAATTCTGTGTACCCTGTAACCCAGTGGTCCCCAACCTTAGGCCTCCAGATGTTCTTGGACTACAACTCCCAGAAGCCTTCACCACCACCTCTGCTTGAACTTGGCCCAGAAATGGATCAGCAGCCAGTGGAGCTGCTGTTAACAGGGGAATTCTGTGTACCCTGTAATCAGCTCCAGGAAGCAATCCGGCTGCTGCATTTTGGGCCATCTGGAGTTTCCAAATCCTTACCAAAGGCCAGCTCCAGGAAGCAATCTGGCTGCTGCATTTTGGGACATCTGGAGTTTCCAAATCCTTACCAAAGGCAGCCCTATGTAGAGCACATTACTTAACACCCTATCCTCGAGATGTTACTAGGGCAATAATAACAACAGTCATGTGCTGTCGTTAATTCTGACTTATAGCAATCCACTGAGCAATCTGGCCAGCATGTAAAACTGTAGAGCACATTACTTAACACCCTATCCTCGAGATGTTACTAGGGCAATACCATGTGCTGTCCAGTTAATTCTAACTTATAGTGACCCACTGAGCAATCTGGCCAGCATGTAAAACATAACACAATGTATAAAACAACACAAAATCCCTGCTAAAATGTCCTAACATGGGTTCCAGATCATGACCTCAAGCTAAGTAGGTACAGACCCCACCTATTTTTGGACGGGAAGAGACAAATGTAATTTTAGAAATCTTAAGCTAAACAATGTATTAATCCAATTTATATCCTGCCTTTCTCCCAAGAATAAAATGCAAGAATGCTTACAATTACACAGACTAAAATTAAAGCATAGATTGAATTAAAGCATAACAAATTTAGCACATGTTTTTAAAACAGAACAATAAAGAAAACATTGTGTCTCCAAATTATAAGCCCTTTTCACAGCAAGCCAGGTCAGTTGCCAAAGTGTTACCTGAATGAAAAAGCTTGTGTCAGTGAAAAGACAACAGGGAGACATAGTATCCATTTACCTGATAAATAGATCCTTGTCAAATTTGTTAATGGTCTTGAGGCGCTTTTTAATCATCACTGGGCAATATACAGTTTATAGGATGTATGCGCCCATCACCCTCTCTGGGTAATCCACCTCCATATTTCTCTTACAGCCACTGTTAATTCTGCCACCAAGGAGAAGCAAGAAAAGTCACTTATAAGAATAATAAGAAGCAGCCTTAAAATGATTCAGACCATTCATCCATCTAACCGACACTTGTCAATTCCAGATGGCAGTGGCTCTCCGAAGGTTTTTAGAGGTTATCCAGAAATCCTTAGTATTGAATAATAGTCTCCCATCCAAATACTAACCAAGCCTGACCCAGCTCAGCTTCTAAAATCTGATGATAGCAGAATTGTTCATCATCATATGGTGATACCAGAGTACTCAGAGCCAACATCTATATGAACTTAAACATCCATATTTATCGCTCAGTGACTGTCCAAAAATGTGATGAACTGCACACACGAAACAGCCATCACAGAGAGAACTTTTGCATCGTGAGACATCATCTCAAAACATTTTACCTTTCACTGAAGACCGTTCGCACATTCAGTTGAGAGACATCAATAGAACCTGAAAAGAGCTGCAACACACACATACACTGCTGCAGTGATTAAAATGTTGGTGTTCCACTAGAAAAGAGCTGCAACACACACACACACGCACACACACACGCACGCACACACGCACACACAGCTATAGTGATTAAAATGTTGGTGTTCCACTAGAACAACTCTACCTTGGAACAACTCCAGTGGCACCACCAGCTATTACATCTTAAATTAAATGAGTGTAAAGGAAGGAATCAAATGTTCGTATTTTCTTTCCTTTTTAACTTGCATCACTGTAGTAACAGATTATAGCTTCACCTTCCCAATAATGAATAAATATGATTTCTAGCAAGTCAGCATCTGCAAAATCATGACGATCATTACTCCTGAACAGTCATTATCAACATCTCTAATGCAGCTTCTAAATGCTTTTCTAGAATTGTGTTTGTAACACTTGAAAAACATTAGCCTGTTTATTAGTTGACGCCTTAGGTTCTAACGGGAGGGATTTCTCAAAATGCAGTTTCAGAGCTGGTGATAATTTCATCAGGAAAAAACTATAGCAGCACAAAAAAACTTGGGGTGGAGGGTAAGACTTCAAATATAGACTTCTTCTTGATGAGTGAGTGGGCTACGAACGTCTTAAATGATTTCCACATGGACAAGTTAAACTGTGTAACTTACTACAGCAAATTTCCACCAACCAATGATTACAGTACAAGACAAACATCCAATAGCAGAACAGGAGTGGACCTTGTAACATCACTGGTACTTTGTTAATTAGCAGCAATTCACCAAAGTGAGTTATGCAATTTAAGTTGCATTCATAAAAATCACCAACAAGATTTGGGCCAAGCTGCTTTAAAGCAGGCGTGTGCAGGTTTGGGGGCCTCCAAATCTACTCGGCCCCAATATTTGGACTAAAGATAAAGCATTTGGTGTAATTGTATTACACGATAAACCCTCAGTAGTGCAAATACTAGATATGCTTGCAACAAATGCTAACCATTTCATTCTTTCAGTTTACGAATATGCTCCATAAATGTCTTCACACGATCTGAATCAATTCTATTTGCCCAGTAGCCTTCCTTCTTGAAATAGGAACCAATGATCAAAGCGTTTGCAGCCAAGTAGTCCTGCACATTATCCAGAGTCACTCCAGATCCAACCAGCACTGGAATCTTCACAGCGTGTCCAACTTCTAGATAAAGTTAGAAAAAAAATTTAATAGAACCTCTTTGGATGCAAGGCAGGTTGGAAAGTTGTTTATAATTTGCAGCACCACACAATACATGGGTAATAAAGGTAAAGGTAAAGGTTCCCCTAAAAAAAAAATTATTAATAGACCCTCTTTGGATGCAAAGCACGTTGGAAAGTTGTTTATAATTTCCAGCACCACACAATGCATGGGTAATAAAGGTAAAGGTAAAGGTTTCCCCTTGACAATTTTTGTCCAGTCGTGTTCAACTCTAGGGGGTGGTGCTCATCCCCATTTCCAAGCCATAGAGCCAGCCAGTTTCCGTGGTCATGTGGCCAGCGTGACGAGACACGGAACACAGGGGTATTCCATACTCAATTTTAAGCAGTATTTCATTGTACAATGTCACCTATCTGGAAGATTTAACTAATACAGGTCCTGTTCTGATGTATGTTACCATGGCTTAGTAAGCCATGTTATTTATGAGAGTTTGGGTCTGGATGATCCTACCTATGAAAGAGGGAGAGAGAGAAGCTGTAGCACAAGTATGCTTGTATTTGGGGTTTAAACTGAGCTGTACTGATGTTTTGCAGCAAGATTTTTTACCTTTCAGCCTCACCACCCTGTCTTATTCTGAAATGGGTGCTTTTCAAGAAGCCATAGCAGTCATTTTGAAAATGGCCAATTGTAAGGCGAACACCTCAGGAAACCTTGGTGGGCCATCTGCCCTCGGTCCTGCAGCCCCAGGTGAGCCCAGGAGAAACAGAGGAGAGTCTCAGAGCATCAGTGGCTGTAATCAAAAAAGCTGCCTGATGAAGGGCACCCACAAAGGGAGGCAACAGCCAGGATAAAGGAGCTGGAGGAGGAGAGCTTGGCGTTTTTGATGGTGGAAGCATGGGTTCCCATCTTCTGTATCTCCAGAAGGGGTGGAGGGTCAGGTAGGAGACCTCTGGGAGAGCCTCTCCTCCTACCGAGCCTGTTTGGCTGCGGACCTCGAGCGCCCACGTCAACACTGGCCTTGAGCCAACACGCCGACACAGCCTTGGCATCCTGCCAACTGATGGGAGCTGCTGAGTCAATATCCGCCCGATTATAGCCTTGGAGATAATCTGGCCCCCTCATCCAACTATACCAGCTATTGCTGAAATGCATGCAGCCCAGGTCAGGCCTCCGCGCTTTTCAAGACCAGGACTTAGGGGACTCCAAGTGATATCAACTGGGCTCCTCTTGGACAGACAGCACCCAAGGGGTTAGTGCCAGAAACTCACCCCCTTGGAGAACATGGTAAAGGAAAAAGACAGCGGAGACAGGTTACGTTAAAACAAAATAGGCTACTACTGTTTAGACCAGTGGTTCCTAACCTTTGTTACTCGGATGTTTTTGAACTGCAACTCCCAAGTGCCAGAAACTCACCCCCTTGGAGAACATGGTAAAGGAAAAAGACAGCGGAAACAGGTTATGTTAAAACAAAATAGTCTACTACTGTTTAGAACTCCAAGATAGAACCCGTGGATTTATTGTCAAAGGACACTCTGGTTACCCCAGAGGTCAGGCCAGAGGCCCTCACAGCAACCAGCCAAAGCAACCTTTTTTAAATAAACCAAGATAGAACCCTTGGAGTTATTGCCAAAGGACACTCTGGTCAGGCCAGAGGCCCTCACAGGAACCAGCCAAAGCAACCTTTTTTAAATAAAAGCATTCATGACACTTTCTCACAATTCCAAATGTGGTCACCAAAAAAGGTTGAAGACCATTATTCTAGGATTGGTATCAATAACTGAAATTAGGCCTCTGGTCTTTAGTTGGTCAGTAAGGATACAATTATGGATGGTGATTACAGGCTGAGGGCCTCCCTGCCTTTTGGCTGTGGGACTTTGTCCCACCATCTACATCCAAGCTCTGTGGAAAGACTCCTGTGTTCTCCTGAGCTGTAGTCCAAAGCATTAACATTCCTCTTTGTACTGCCACATACTGAATAACAATTGCACTACACACAATGTTCCCTTCAAACTGCAGGGTAATACCATTTTTTTAACTGTACCATTAATTGGAAAGAGAACCAGCAAACAGCCAACAAAACCATTTAGAGCTCTTCAATTCCCACATCCTGTGACCAATGACAAAAAAGCATAACAATTCGAGAAACTGATATAATACACTCTCACATCAGTTCAGCTTTCAAAGAGACAAGTCATTAGATCAAAACACAAACTGGCGTAAGCTGTTCAATAGGTTTATTTTGTAATATGATAAAAGGAATACAATTGTGTCTACACTTAAACAGCAGCAGGAGGTCCGATGATACAGACAAGCTCAATTTGCTGTCATAGATCTCCATTAGGAGGAGGGAAAATACCACCCACCCATCCTATCATTCCATTTCCCCCATTCAGAAATACAGCACTAGGATGCATCCATCTGGTTCACTATGAGACAACATACATTACTGAGAAAATACTGAAGTGTCTCTCAGGCACAATTTCATCAGCACCTCCTCAGAAAGGTATGGAACAGGTTTATTTTCTTCATAACTCCACTATCCCAATTTCTAATTAAAAATCTCTCAGGGTTGGTCATATTCTGTGTTCTGATCACACAAGGAAAGGAAAAGGAAGAAGTTTCCTCCACCCACCCACCCACCTGAATTTTGCATATTGCAGATTTTGTATCCTGACTGCAGCATTGAATCTTTAGCAGCATTTAAAATGATTTATGAACAGCTCGAGCAAATAAAAGGTAAACAAGAAGGTGACAATCAGGCAGATGAGTTGGCAAAAGGTCCACTCTGCTAGTCACCAAGAATCCTTCTCAAAGGTTCACTTTAGTTTGGGCGCTATGGCCTCATTTTCTCCTGCGTCTTAGGAAGCTGGACATTTCCATTTTTTTTACAGTTAGGCTATTTACCCTATAACTGAGTAAAAAGCATTCAACAAGGTTTATTTTCTGCACATTAAAATAATGTGTAACTGTTGCAGCAGCGGAAGAGAAGAATACTTTGCCTGTAGAGTAGGTGGCAGGTTCTTCATAAGCTTAGCCCTTGAAATGCGATATTGGCAAAGTTTAGACCAGGACGCGTAAAGCATAACTTTCCAGATGTTGGTGGAGAGCAATGCCAAGCACACCTCACCTTTGGCTGTGCCAGCTAAGGCTGAGGGAAGCATCAGTCCAACCACATTGGAAGGGCTGAACGTGCCCACCCCCAATTTTGGTGAATCCAAGGAGCAAGCATCCATCTTGGAAGACCCATATAACAGTCCTTTTGCAAAATACAACCTTAGACAGGAGTCCTGCTCATGCCAGCAAATGGATCCCCTCGCCCATGAATTTTTAATAAGGGATCAGATCTGGCTATTAAGGTCTATACCAAGAAAGCCTATCAGGGATCACATCTTATTCTGCTGAGCACTTATGAATCCAACGGCTCTGCTCTGACTCATGTATACACCTTAAAATAATGTAATGCATTTGTATCAATGAAAATCTGACTCCCAATGGCGTCTAGGCATTTTCACGTATACTTTTATTTCTTTCGAAGTTGTTGTTCTCACTGGAATGTCAGTTCCCAAGCTAAACCTCAGTATTTCTCCCCTCATGTTTTTAATTTACCTTCATTAGAAATAACCTTTCAAAAAAGGTTATGAAGAATGTCATCATTCATGAGCTACAGCTATCAAAAATGAGGGCTTTCCTTTTTGTTTTAATTAATAGAAATATGTTCATCCACTTATATAGTTATCAGCTTACTATGACAGCTAGTTACACCAGAAAAAAAGCACCCCTGAAACTTTTTTCTTAGGTGACTATGGTAAGGGGACTGTATGTGCATACTGAACAAAATGGGTTCAAGTTAAACCATACAAGAGAAGAACTAAAACAGTAATTAGTGTCACTTATATCCCATATACAGAAATTGGCAAAAAGATTATTTGTCACGTAAACAACAGCAAAGGTCTTTTGGATGAACACTTTTACTATGTTAAGAGAGTTTGAATGTGCCAGGAGAGCAGAAAGCAATACCTTCAAGAAGCTAAACTCCACTTCAAATATAGACTCTTGAAGGCTCACAGAGGCTGCAATGGCCAAAAGCTGAGACATCAGACTAAGAGGCATCCATTCTTGAAGGACACTTACTGGGCAGTCCGAGCAGCAATAACTGAGCCCGAAAAACCCACAACAACCAATAACTGGTACTGTTGAAGAAACTTTTGTATACAAGAAAAGTGACCCTGAAACTTGTACGCTTGTAACTACTACACAGAAGAAGGCAATGGTAAACTACGTCTGAATTCTTATACCTTAAACACCCTATCATGAGAAACAAGAGATGCTACTGCAGAATGAGATTCTTAGGTAGGAGTGGTGATATAGTCAATTTCTGGGCCCAATTCAAAGGGCTGGTGTTACTTATAAAGCCCTCTACTGTTTAGGTCCAGGCTATCTTAAGGGCCCTATCTCCCCAAATAAGCCTTGCTGGCCCTTAAGATCTTCAGAGGAGGCCTTCCTCTCAGTCCCATTACCATCACAAAGCCCAAAGACCTCCTTCATGATGCAGACATGAGAGAAGGCTTTTTCTGTGGCTGCTTCCAGGCTGTCGAATGCTCTCCCTCAGGAGATCGGGTTGGGCCCACCTCCCTTTTTATCTTTCTGAGGACAGTTGAAGATCCACCTCTTCAGGCAGGCTTTTAATGCTCATAACTGAGTCCCTGGGTGCTGGTTTTTAGCTAAGCAAGCTTGCTTTCAAAGTTTCAAATTTAATGTATTTTAATTATTTTAATAGTTTAATTCATTTTTAAATGTGTAATTTATTGTGTTTTTAATCTTACTTGTTTTAAAGTGAGTCACTCTGGGTAGAGAGAAAAGTGCACAAAAAAGATACAGAATAAATAAATAACTGATGAAGAAAGCAACCGTATTAAAGATTTTAGATACCGTAGTCCTATCATCAATCAAAATAGTGAACCACAGCCAAGAAATCTGAAAAAGACTGAAACTTGGAAGGGCAGCTATCAAGGAGGTGTGTGAGGCCAGAAAGTTTGATCCTTGAATATCACCCTAAGAGCCCTACAGAACTATATAAACCTCTGGGGAAAAACAGAAGTCCGTGTTTGTCACAGTTGGCCTTAATCCTATTTAAAAGTTAATTTCAGTATGAAAAGAGATAACAATTTCCATTCATTTCAACATTCATCTGAATGTCAAAGTAAATGTTGCTTCATTGTTGTAATGATTCCAGGCTACATCAGCTTGACTATTTCTAGTCAAGCTGATGTAGCCTGACTAGAAAATAAGACCTAACTTGAAAATAAGCCCTAGTATAATTTTTCAGGATGCTCATATAAGCCCTATCACCCCAAATAAGCCCCAATTAAGTGAAATCCTGCCCTTCACCATTGTGCAGCAACCAGAAGATGACATGACTGTATTTGAATAAATATAGATGGTTCTACATGAAAAAAATAAAACATCTCCTGAAAATAAGCCCTAATGCATTTTTGGAGCAAAAATTAATATAAGACCCTTGTCTTGTTTTCGGGAAAACATGGTACAAGCTTTATTCAACTATAGTTGGAAAAAACTTAACTGTAATGATGTGTCACTACAGACTAAGGCTAAGCTTAACCGTATTATGTCATTATCGATTATATTGGTTGCATGTGAAAACTGGACAATGAAGAAAGCTGACAGGGGAAAAATTGATTCATTTAAAATGTAGTGTTGGAGGAGAGCCTTAGAAATACCACAGACTGTGAGAAAGACAGAAAAGTACATTCTAGAACAAATTAAGGCTTAATTCTCATGAGAAGTTAAACTAACTGTAGCAAAGCCATACTTAGGGTGTATGATATCACGAGAAAGCAAGACTCACTGGAGAAGAGGATAATGCTAGGAAATGTTGAAGGCAGCAAATAAAAGGCAGATCTGACATGAACCTGCTTAAAGGAAGCCACTGCCTTTACTCTGCAAGGCCTGAGTTGCACTATTAATGACAGCACCTTTTGGAGGTCATTAATTCACAGGCTTGCTATAGGTCAGAAGTAACTTGATAGCACATAACGGCAACATTCCGCCTCAACCTCACTGGAAGAACAGCAGCAGGCGAATGTAGTTAACGAGGCAAACAAATGGCAATTCCGTATATCTCAGACGCTATCCTGGTTCTCACCTTCTAATTCCTTGGGATCTGCCTCCAATCCGGTTGCACTTCCAGTCAACACCACACCATCAGCCATGAAGAATTCAGCTGCCTTAGCGGTCTCTGCGACACTGACATCAGCTGTAAGAGCATGAGCGCTGTCAACAGCAGAAACATAACCTGTTTATTTTGTGCAGTTATACCTGGAGTGACTAGTGCAGTCGTAAAACCTTCATTCTCTTTGCAAAATAACTGATGGATTATGTTTCCGGCTCCTCAAGATTTAATAAATCAAAGTAAAGTGTGTTAGGATTACGTGCTTAGCTAACAACCACTCATTCACAGTGGCCCCCATCAACAATATACATGTTACATCTATTCAGATATTCAGCGTATCTGTTTGTAGCTATGTAATGTTTCATAGAAAGGACATTTTCATTCAGGCAGTCCCATATTATACCCTAGAATGTACTCGACATGGCACTGTTTTATAACCTCTTACCTGCTCAATATCTTAAAAAGCTCAAGTGTGAGTGAGGCTATCTTTGTGGTTGGAAATAACCAGGTCCCTGGTTCATTTAGTCAGCATAGACCTTTTATCCCTGGTAAACAGAGATCATCCACCCATCATTACCATTAAGAGAACTCTTCAGTGTGGTCCTCCTTGCCAAAGTAACTGTCTACTAGAAAAACATTTTTATCATGGGTTCCTATTTACCTGTGTTTCTTTTTTATGTCAGCAAAAATCTGGACGTGTTCTGCTCCAATTTGCTTCCGGTATCTTAGCAAGTCGCCAGCACAGGCATTTAAAATCCCTTCGTCTGCCACATGAGAAAAAACAAAGCCTTCTGCTCGGATAAAGTCAAGACCTACAAATGGTGATAAACCAAGATTACTGTAATAAATCTGAACGAGCATCAGGCAGAAACATGCTTCACTACTAGACAATCCCAAATACAAATGGGGTACGTTAAGGCAAGCGGTGTATTACTATGCTGAGTGAATGCACACCACTATGTCATGCTTGCTCCATGACCTTGCGCACATCATTGTATCTTTTCCTAAATATCCTGCAGGTTGTTTTAAAGAATGGCACAGGTGCCAGAAATGTATTTCTTAGACAGGAATTAGTGGGCAATGAAAAGAGGAAGGAGCTGTGCCTCAAACAGAAACTGAAGTACAGAAAATTATTCTGCCACCTGTTAGATTTCTGCATGTTTCACTGTTCTCTCATTTGCAAGCCAGTCCTACTATCCATGACCTTTGCCAGATCTAACACTTGAGGTTTTTAAATCACAATTTTGTGAATGGAACTGCTGATGTTCTATACCAAAAGCATTTGCTCTACCGTTACGTTATAGCTCCTCCTTAAAGCACAAATCCTGGTCAATATTGCATCAAACCCATGGGTTAGTGTCATTATGATGGCACTCTAAGTGAACAAGGCAGCCGGCCGTGCAATTCACAGCAAGGAGACAGAGATCACAACAGAACAGAATTTAACTCTGACTTAATACTAATTGTTCTGTCAAAAAACAACAAAACAAAAACCAGGACTGGGAGGCTAGAACACAAGCCAGATTTGGTGGCATTAACCGAATAGTCCTGAAAATTATCAGGAAAAATAGCAAAATGTGATTTACAGTGCAATCTGCATCTCTATTTGTATCTTTATCACTTCCATAAATGCTCCCAAGCTTCAGTAATATGCATCATTCTGTTCAGTCCCCAAACAGATGTAGTTAATTAAATCAGGATCTATGCACAGGAAATTATGCACTACTGAAGAACACATGGCACACCTGTTAATAATGAAGCAGTTGTGAACAAAGCCTGGCAAACCATTTCAGATATGGGACAGCTCTTGCTGTTCACACTCAGATGCGAGGAAAATGAAGACAGAATGTAGTTTTAGAGAAGACAATGTTTTTTTTTTTGCCATTAAAAAGCAAGAAGATATTCTGCTATAAAGCAAGCCCTTAAATCAAGAAATAGAAAATAAGGCTGAACTTTGTAACTCTGATCCATCAGTGTGCTCAGTGTTAATATTTATTAACCTCCAGTCCCTATTACGACCCCTTTTATTTTATACCTATTGCTTCCTTGTGTCTATAGTGCCTGCCATTATCCTCTGCTGACAGAGTCCCTCACAATTATTATTCTTGCCATGTTTTTCTAAGGGGTTATTGAGAAAGTGCTTCAGAAGCCTGAGATCAATTCAACAGTAAATAAATGGGGTTGACTGATAGGACCAGAGGCCAAAAACGTTACATTTTTGAACTGCATCTCCCAGAATCCCCCTACCGAGCATAAGGACTACCTTTTTTTTGTAGGCTTTTAAAAACTAATGTCACCCATCAAGAATGATGCATTATGACCATCTGAGTAATTCACGCAGGACCACACTGAAAAATCCCTTTTTAAAAGCCATACTTTTTTTAAAATGTGGATTTTACTGCAGTAGTAGTTTTATATCAAGCCTTTAATATATCAGTGAAAATAGGTTTTGCTTGCCAGTGAACCAGATGGCACAAAAGGCTTTAAAGTGGAAGTGTCACATTTTGGAGCTCTCAAAAAACATATTACAATGCAGTAAGGATTAATTTTTTAAAAATCCTGCTTAAAAACAAAACACTCAAGATTTTAAGATTCAGTTTGAGCAGGCTGTGGGAAGTAAGAGTAATTCCCTCACTAGTCAGGTTTTGATAATATTTTTTCCAAGTCTATATTTTTAGATATGACTTTCAGAACTACGAACAAAAAGAAAACTATAATGTAAAGAATGTGCCCAACTACACATTCAGAGGCCTTGGACATGAACTGTTTTCTCTCTCTCTCACACACACACACACGCTTTAGTGTCATCGTTTTCTTTTTAGTGCCTTTTTTTAAAGAAAAAGAGAGAAAGGGGAGAGAATGAAGGGGATGAGTAATGTGCAGGACAGAGACTGAGGAGAAAAAAATGGGATATTTGGCAAAAACTATTGCAGGTTATCACCAAATTGAGCCCTGACTTTGAAAGTTTAAGGCTACTAACAGAAACTTAATAAAGAGCTATTATTGGCTCAAGATTTGTAAGTTTTAACTTGCAAAGTCGCCAGATGCACTAATGGAGTAGTATATACATCAAATAAATTTTAAAAATATGATGGTTCATAATATCAAACTGTAAAACATTCTCATTCCTATCACTCAAAAAAAGAAAGGCCACCTTTTACAAAATAATTTGCAAAATAATTTTTCTTTTCTTTTTTCTTTTCTTTTCTTTTCTTTCTTTCTTTCTTTCTTTCTTTCTTTCTTTCTTTCTTTCTTTCTTTCTTTTTTTTTTTTTTGGCGTAAACATACAGACTGTTACTTATGTGGCATCTGTGTATGTTGGTACCTTTTCCAAAGAGTACTAGAAGAAACATAAAGAAAGGAAGACTTGTTTTGGGGTTCTGTATTGATAACACGGAAAGCTAGTATAACTCGATGGACTGGAGTGACCGCTTGCATAGCTAGTAGCTGGAAGCTTCAGTCCCTCACTATTGGACCATAAGAGAGGGTCCAACTGAGATTTCTGCACAACTAGACAAGTTGGAGAGTGCCAACAAAGACCACTTCTGTGTACAGTGGACCCTCGACTTACAGACGGCTCGACTTACAGACTTTTCGAGTTACAGACTTCTCTGGCTGCAAAATTTTGATTCGACTTGCAGCCAGAGAATCGACTTACAGAACAGAAAAAACTTAAAATGGAATAAAAATAGAATAAAAACCACTGGTTATGGGATTCATCGGTTTTCAGTGCATTGTAGGTCAATGGAGATTTGACTTACAGACTTTTCGACTTGCAGCCACCATTCCAATACGGATTAATTCCTTAAGTAGAGGGTCCACTGTACTTGATACTTAGGAAACCTTGGTCAATCAACTTGCTAAGACATTACCGTGTTTTCCCCAAAATACGACAGGGTCTCATATTAATTTTTGCTCCAAAAACGCATTAGGGCTTATTTTCAGGGGGTGTTTTATTGTTTTCATGTACAACAATCTACATTTATTCAAATACAGTCATGTCATCTTCTTCTGGTGGCTGCACAAGGATGGAGGGCGGGGTTTCTCTTAACTAGGGCTTATTTTGGGGGTAGGGCTTATATTACGAGCATCCTGAAATATCATACGAGGGCTTATTTTCAGGATAGGTCTTATTTTCAGGGAAACAGGGTACAATAATTATTATATTTTATTACAAGTTTCATATTTGTCCTGTTTTGGACACATCACGAAAAGATAGGATTCTCTGGAAAAGACAGTAATGCAGGAAAAGGTTGAAGGCAGCAGGAAAAGAGGAAGACCAAATATGAAATGGATTGACGCCCTAAAGAAAGTCACAGGCTTCAGTTTACAAGAGTTGAGCAGGCTGTTGAGGATAGGATATTTTGGAGATTGTTCGTTCACAGGAACGCCATAAGTCAGAGGCAACTTGACAGCACATAACATAAAAGGTTAAGGCAAAAACGAATGATTTTTATTTGTATACATCTGTATTTTAATTATTTTAATAGTTTAATTGCTTTTTAATGTGCAATTTATTTATTTATTTATTTATTTATTTATTTATTTATTTATTTATTTATTTATTTATTGCATTTATATGCCGGCCATCTAGACATAGTCTACTCTTAATCTTTTAATCTTACTTGTTTTCAAGTGAGTCACCTTGGGTCCCCTCAATGAGAGAAAAGTGCCCCACAAATGATACAAAATAAATAAATAACTGATAAATAAATAAAAAAAACCTAATTTGCAAAGTATGATTTTCAGAAATTCAGGATTACACTTGACATGAATTGTTCGAAATGATGGGCATGGTTAGCAGCTAGAGATCAAACAAAGATGTTTGGTTGTTTAAAACTGTCAATCCTAAAAGTTCTACAGCTGCCTTCGCCCATGCATATTCACTCAAATGTTAGTCCCCTGGCTTCAACTGAAACTGCAACCCTAAATTTGCATAGGATCAGGCTCCAGGGTTTATGTATATATCTGTATATAACTCCAAGTTACTGGAAAAGTTGTTGAAAAGTTATTCAGAGGTCCATTTAATTCAAAATAAATGAAGAATATGAAATGTTATCCTAAGACAGAAAGGGGGCAATCATATCCAAGAAATCTTTTCTAGAAACACAGAAATAATGTTAAGAAAGGAGGAGGTGCACTTGAAATTATAAAGTGCACTTTAATGTGAAGCTGTATCGGCTGTTTAATCAATTCTGTTTACTGACTCAAGATCCTAGATGTTTAAGTAAACCAAAGCATTCATCTACAACAATGTAGGAGGAAAAATGCTGTTATATTTTTTTGAAAATAAAGTGTAATATGAAAAAAAGTGGTGCCAATCTAGGAAACAGATGTTAGGTATAATGGGTGATTCATCTGTCACCGTTTGCATCCAGATACATTAAAGAGATTGTATAAAAGTAATGTGCGCTTTCAGTATTAATCACCTAGCATTCTTGCACAAGACAAAGAAATGAAATGCTGAAACTTTTAAACCAGTGTTTCAGCAGATAAAGACAAAGCTGTGTTGGCACAATTTGTATTATTAATGTAGTTGGCTTTTTATTCAAGTAAACTTTCTCTACTTTTGCATGAAATACGCTACGTAAAGTTTAAAGTATATATTTTTTTACCCCCGTGAAGGGTTCTTATTTGGCACAGCAGAATTCACCACTCATCCCTTTGGTAATCTTTCCTGATACGTGTCTGGTAAATAATGTAACCAAAAAGGGGGGGAGGGGGTGCCTTCACACTTTCCTAACATCAAGGTCTTTTCCAAGGAGTCTTCTCTTCTTATGAGATGGCCAAAGTATTGGAGCCTCAGCTTCAG